ATTCTCCACCAAGCATTGTCTTCCGATGGTGGTTTTGAGGCATAATCTTAAGAAACAAATAGTCAATAGCCTATCATGAGTGACTAAAGTATTACCGGTCTTAAATCTGAGGGGTTTCTTAGGGGGTTGGTTGTAAATGTTTTACGGCACTCGCAACTCTACATGAGGTCATATGAGCGCACGGAAAACATTAAACTTTTTCAGTTTGTAGGAAATTTTGAATTTTGCCCGAGTGGCGGCCAAAGCCTACTATGCTTATCGATTTTAGACCACCAATGCATCTTTAACGTGCACCACTTGCACACGGGCCCTCCGAGATTTTTCGCCCTTGTCCGAGAATGCTAGGTGTAGATTCTAGATCTTTCCAACCAGAAGATCAGGGGTGTGGCTGAAAGACAGAGGAGCCAAGGAGTAGCAGTCAGTAGAAAGGCTGCAGAAATAGCCAGGAGCCCAGAAGAGGGGCAGAAAGAGGAGACGAAAGCAGACGACAGAACATTGCTAGAGAGCAGGAAAGGAGGTGAAAGGAGACAATTTTAGAGAAAAAAATCTTTCGGTCGCTACTCGGATTCGAACCCGGGACCTTTGAATGAGAAACCAGCACCTTAACCTCTGGGCAACGATACGAGAGCCCCCTAAATCTGAGTAAGAACAAGGAAAATAACGTCACTATGTGTCCCAAGCATCCCAACAACACCGGGGCTTTTTGTGTTTTTTTGTCCCATCCATCCCAACCCCAACCTGATGAAATTCAACATGTGAGTGCAAGTTCTACGATTTGCAAAAAATAAAAACGAAAACACAGCAGTACGCGAATGTCGAAATAATGACAGCAAAAGAAAATAATAATGTCTTTTGATTGTTCTCTGTTTCTACATGTAACAAGACGAAGAGATTGTCCCCCACCAAATCCAATAAAATCAGCATCAAAAGTTTGGAGATCCAGATCCAAAGTTCGACATCGAAAGGAAAACGAAAGCCGTTGGCGGGAACAAATTTGAGGGCTGTTCGGTCACGCAGGCTATGTTCATAGGAACACCGGAATTGCACTGTTTATGACATTTATGAGTTAATTACTGCAGTTGTCCCATGTCCCACGTCCCAACCTTCCCCTATCTGTCCTCGCAAAATTATAAGCAAATTTAGATGGCCAAATTATGCAAGACAAATGCAAAATTATGCAAAAATTATGCAAGTTACCGTAACAGTAACACCATTCACGACATGTTTTAATAATAATAATAAATGACATTTATATATAGCACTCAACCCCGAATAAAATACACAGGCCCCGAGCGCTTTACAATACAGTACAAC